AAATCGTTGATTCAATTAAATAATAACATTACAGCACGACAAACCAATTTAACACAACGTCAGCAAATTATTCTTAAACAGAAATTATCGGTTTTCGACCGCGCTCCGATGGTAATGAACGTGGCTGGTACCATCGGAGCAATGTAACAAATAATTTCAGTCATATTCTTCCATCTTCAACTATTATAGAAGTAGATAGTCATTTTTCGCCAAGGCAATTATCTTATCTTACATATGGTCCCAAATATGTACCACCTTGCCAAAGTCGTTTTCCAAGTAAATTTATTGATACAACTATTACTCGACAACATGATCAAATTGTTAACAATTTCAAAAAGGGTTTTTATGACAATTGTGTATCATGTTCAGATCAACGAGCAATAGATTTTTTTATCACTGTAAAAAATAGTCTTCATCGATTCCATACAATGCCATTACCTCCTAAATTATATGCTCGTGTTCAATATAAATATCGTAATATTAAACATATTCGTCGTCGAATTAAAGAATCCAATGTTATTTTACGACCAACGGATAAAAGTAAAGTATTTCATTTAGCTAATGCTCATAGTTATCATCAAAAAGCATTACAATACATGCAAGAAACGAATGCTTATCGAGAAATAACAAGTGATATTAATCCGTGTCATGATCATGTGCAAAAGGTTTTAACTTTAATAGATCCAATGTTAAAAAAGGCGACATTAATTTAAAATTATGGAAACAAAATATGCGACCAAATACAAATACGACTGAATCGGCTCATCTATATTTTATACCAAAGCCTCATAAAGTAAAATTTTTCAAATATATACGTAAATCAATTAAATATTTCTTTCTTCTTCTTCGATAGATTGGAACACCTCTAAGACCAATTGTTCCCTCGATCAAAGCAGCAGCAACTGGTGTCTCACACTTTCTCGATCTTCGATTACGTCCATTATTCGACGAAGTAGCCAAAGAAACAACATTTATCAATAATCTTCATTTTGTTCGAACATTAGAAAAATATCGAGATAGTGGTCGTCTTTCATCAACAGCATTATTTCTTAGTGGTGATGTAGCTAATCTATATACAATGATACCTCGAGATGGAGCAATACTTGCTTTACTAAAATTCTTAAATAAATATACTCAAAATCATCGAATTGTTGGAATGACAATTGATACTATAACAAAACTGGCTCGTTTAGTTTTGGATACAAATTGTTTTGTATTTGAAGATAAATATTATTTACAAATTCGTGGTGGAGCTATGGGATCACCATTTACAATGACATTAGCAAATATCTANGTCAGCAAATTATTCTTAAACAGAAATTATCGGTTTTCGACCGCGCTCCGATGGTAATGAACGTGGCTGGTACCATCGGAGCAATGTAACAAATAATTTCAGTCATATTCTTCCATCAACTATTATAGAAGTAGATAGTCATTTTTCGCCAAGGCAATTATCTTATCTTACATATGGTCCCAAATATGTACCACCGTGCCAAAGTCGTTTTCCACGTAAATTTATTGATACAACTATTACTCGATAATATGATCAAATTGTTAGCAATTTCAAAAAGGGCTTTTATGACAATTGTATATCATGTTCAAATCAACGAGCAATAGATTTTTTTATCGCAGTCAAAAATAGCCTTCATCGATTCCATACAATGCCATTACCTCCTAAATTATATGCTCGTGCTTAATATGAATATCGTAATATTAAACATATTCGTCGTCGAATTAAAGAATCCAATGTTATTTTACGACCAACTGATAAAAGTAAAGTATTTCATTTAGGTAGTGCTCATAGTTATCATCAAAAAGCATTACAATACATGCAAGAAACGAATGCTTATCGAGAAATAACAAGTGGTATTAATCCATGTCATGATCATGTGCAAAAGGTTTTAACATTAATAGATCCAATGTTAAAAAAAGGCGATATTAATTTAAAATTATGGAAACAAAATATGCGACCAAATCCAAATACGACTGAATTGGCTCATCTATATTTTATACCAAAACCTCATAAAGTAAAATTTTTCAAATATATACATAAATCAATTAAATATTTCTGTCTTCTTCTTCTTCTTCGATAGATTGGAACACCTCTAAGACCAATTGTTTCTTCGATCAAAGCAGCAGCAACTGGTGTCTCACACTTTCTCGATCTTCGATTACGTCCATTATTCGACGAAGTAGTCAAAGAAACAACATTTATCAATAATCTTCATTTTGTTCGAACATTAGAAAAATATCGAGATAGTGGTCGTCTTTCATCAACAAAATTATTTATCAGTGGTGATGCAGATAATCTGTATACAATGATACCTCGAGATGGAGCAATACTTGCTTTACTAAAATTCTTAAATAAATATACTCAAAATCATCGAATTGTTGGAATGACAATTGATACTATAACAAAACTGGCTCGTTTAGTTTTGGATACAAATTGTTTTGTATTTGAAGATAAATATTATTTACAAATTCGTGGTGGAGCTATGGGATCACCCTTTACAGTGACATTAGCAAATATCTATATGTTTGAATGAGAACAATCATTAATTGAATATCAAAAGGCACACAATGAAATCTATGGCCGGTAAATTATTTTCGAAAGAAAAAAACAAACTTTTCTTTAATTGCTATACTTTCTTCTTTCCATTTTGTACCAAATAGATACATTGATGATTTCTTTATGACGACGAATTCATTATCTGATCTTAAAATTCAATTAAATACTATCGAGACAAAAGATGCAAATATTCGAATTACTACAACAACTAGTCCAAAAATAGAATTTCTTGATGTACAAGTTGAAAATAATCATGGACAACTAAGAACTTCAGTATTTCATAAACCAGCAGCTGAACCCTATATTGTACCATTTTTATCAGATCATCCACGTCATGTTCATCGTAATATAATCAAAGGACAATTAATTCGAGCAGCACGTCTCTGTTCTCATGTCGAAGATTTTAACGACGAGAGATTGAATACTGAATTTACTTTACTATTAAATGGCTATCCACCAAGATTCATTTCTTATTATTTTAAAGAGTTCTTTCAACAAAATAATGTATCAATCTTGATGGAGAAATTAGAGCAAGTCACATAACAAAATCTTCATCAACATCTAATAAATAAATCCACCCGAAGAGAATATCAAAGGAAACAACAAGCATCAAACATCAACCAATATCAATATACAAATAAGAAGCGGATTCGTGTATATTACACTTTTGAAACTGGTCCATTGTTGAAATTCACCGATAACTTATAAAGTCTATGGAAAAAACACTATCAAGATAATCATCCAATTATGAAACATGTCGCTTTACAGATAGGTCCAATACCCAATAGAAATCTAAATCAATTATTGGTCAAGAAAAAACCGTCTCAAGCAATGTTAATCAATGTTCCTCGCAATACCGCAAAAACAACACAGGATTGACCATCATACAGTTTATTCCATACCATTATAGGCATGTAATCATTTACAGCCTGCAAAACCATTTCAACCTCAAAGCTGATTCTCTTAAATCATCGTCTTCCGCACGTCGCGTTTTTTTTTTTCATTTTTATTATTCGTTTTCTTTTGTTTTCTTACTTATCCTCTCACAGAAGTTGAACTTTTAACCCGCCGATGTTCCTTCTTCTTCTTTTTCTAGATATGATGAAAGACCCTTGAAAAAGGTCNATTCAATTAAATATTATCGAGACAAAAGATGCCAATATTCGAATTACTACAACAACTAGTTCAAAAATAGAATTTCTTGATGTACAAGTTGAAAATAATCATGGACAACTAAGAACTTCAGTATTTTATAAACCAGCAGCTGAACCCTATATTATACCATTTTTATCAGATCATCGACGTCATGTTCATCGTAGTACAATCAAAGGACAATTAATTTGAGCAGCACGTCTCTGTTCTCATGTCGAAAATTTTAACAACGAGAGATTGAATATTGAATTTACTTTGTTATTAAATGGCTATCCGCCAAGATTTATTTCTTATTATTTTAAAAAATTCTTTCAACAAAATAATGTATCAATCTTGATGGAGAAATTAGAACAAGTCACATACCAAAATCTTCATCAACATCTAATAAATAAATCCACCCGAAGAGAACATCAAAGGAAACAACAAGCATCAAACATCAACCAATATCAACATACAAGTAAGAAGCGGATTCGTGTATATTACACTTTTGAAACTGGTCCAATGTTGAAATTCACCGATGAATTACAAAGTCTATGGAAAAAACACTATCAAGATAATCATCCAATTATGAAACATGTCGCTTTACAGATAGCTCCAATATCCAATAGAAATCTAAATCAATTATTGGTCAAGAAAAAACCGTCTCAAGCAATGTTAATCAATGTTCCATGTAATACCGCAACAACAACACAGGATTAACCATCATACAGTTTATTCTATACTATTATAGGCATGTAATCATTTACAGCCTGCAAAACCATTTCAACCTCAAAGCTGATTCTCTTAAATCATCGTCTTCCGCACGTCGCGTTTTTTTTTTTCATTTTTATTATTCGTTTTCTTTTGTTTTCTTACTTATCCTCTCACAGAAGTTGAACTTTTAACCCGCCGATGTTCCTTCTTCTTCTTTTTCTAGATATGATGAAAGACCCTTGAAAAAGGTCGAAATCTAGATCGTAGGATTCTATTGTATAATACACACCCACACCCATACACTCACCCATAGTTTCACCCAAGGCCCCCGCTTTCACCCTTCATCCGCACTCGTTCTAAGACCAGCACACTCGAAGTTTTCAATGTGTTCAATGGTTGTAGGAAAAATTTTTTTTTTACCTTTGACCTTTGACCTTTGACCCTGACACAAACAAACAAACAGACAAACTATTTTATTTCATATGACCCTCTCTACAGTTGAGGGAATAATCTTTATCGAAGTTTGACAGAAAAGAATATTAAATAATTCTAGCAAGAGAATGAAACAATTTGCGTTCTCACTGCATTAGAAACATTAGAATAATTACCTTTCGGAAATTAACTCCGAGAGCATTGTCAAATTCTTTTTCACGTCATTTTAGAAAATCTGTAAAACGTTCTCGTAATTAGACACCATTGGAATATTGAAATCTTCTTAATAGTTGGTTGTATCACAGATGAATTATACTATACTTATATCATATATTTTCATGTCGATAGTCGATGTCTTTTTTGCATAAACCAGTGTCTTCTTTTTTTCAGGTTCTTTCAAAAAAATCATACAAATTCGTCAGTCTAAATCATTGTTTTGAGTTGGAAGGATAATTCGTATAAAGGTACATCGTCATTATTTATTTGATACAGAAATAAGAGTTACTTTCAAAAATACAAGGAAGAAATAGTAGACTACAATGGACTCCATGAAGTCATGTGATTGAAAAACTAATCTCTTGTTTTCTGCTCATCTTAATTAAAGTCTTTTAAGATTATAACGACTAGTTTTAAGAACGAGAGAAGCCACTTTTTTATCGCAAATGATTATCACATCGTTTTTTCTTTTATGAAAAGACACGCTAGAGAATTATCGACAAGAATATGTAAAGATATCAAATAGATTTAAGGAAAACTTCGTCGTGCGATTTGAACATAGCCTAATTTGAAGTAATGCTAAGACTGTATATATTTTCTTGATTTTGTCCATTGATAGTTTTTAAATACTTCGAAAGATTCATAAATGACAATCAAAAGTACTCATTTTTTCAGTTGATATCATGTTAGTTTGTGAAGAACGTATAAATAACATAGCGTAGAGTAATATCGATACTTTAAATTTAAAATTTTCGTTCGAATGAAAATCTGAAAATAGATCATACTGAAATCATATCGTTTTTAGTTAAAGAACACTGATTTACCAGATTTGTTTATAACAAAACAAATGAATATAATCGACATTTAGAAAGTTAATTACATCTAAGTTACGCAGAATTTGTGATCAGATTTTTCTTTTCATCTATTTGACGTCATTTTATAATGCGCCTTTTGATAAACAAAACCCATGATAATCATTGGAGACTATAAAAAGAAAAAGAAATTCTTTTTCTTTAGAGTTTGACATAAATCTGAAAGTTGTTTCATTAATTAACAATTGTTTATCAACATGGGCAATTCAACAAGTGTCATAATTACAAATTTAAATACGATTGGTTATTGGATAAATCAAATTTTTCTACCAATTACAATTATATTGGGCACATTTGGAAATTTATTTAATATTATTATATTTACTCGTCCAACATTACGGAAAAATCCATGTGCATTATACTTTTTGTGCGGATCGATTAATAATTTCTTCACTTTGTATGTGACTATTCTGTCACGTTATCTTATAGTTGGTTGGAGTATCAATGCAGCGAGCTACAATGATCTTTTATGTAAATTACGTAACTATGCCATAGTTATTTTTATGAATCTTACATTATGGTTTGTTGCTCTGGCGAGTATCGATCGTTATTTTGCTAGTTCACCAAATGCTAGACTTCGGCAATTAAGCAGTTTATCTATTGCTCGAAAAATTATCATATTCACTGTTGTATTTACATTTTTAATTTGTTTACATTTCCTTATTTTTTTAACTGCTAGTCAACAATCTTATTGCCAGGCTAGTTCATTTGGATACGCAGTGTTTTTCCAAATCTTTATTGTGCTGACTGGAAGTACCATTCCAATTATAGTGATGGCTATTTTCGGCATTTTAACAGTGAGAAATGTTTCCAGCATTCGTAATCGTATCACTCCTCAAGGAGACAATGTACAAAATGAACCTTTACGAGCAAATGAACGTCAAATGCACAAAATGCTTCTAATGCACTTATTGGTTTGTCTTATTCTTACTGTTCCTTATGGTATTACTAGTATTTACGATCCAGTTATTCGATATGTATTTCTACGGACTCCGTCAGCATATGATACAGCTATTTATAATGTTACATTAAATATTACTCGAGCAATGTATTTCACTACTACTATCATTGGATTTTATGTTTATACATTAACTTCTCCAAGGTTTTCATCTGAATTCAAACGTTGTTGTCGATATGGACTGAAAATTGTTCTTACTACAACTAAATTAATTCAATGTTTACCAATGAGATTTCAGGAAATAGTTCTTGGAGAGAATCTAATGAATACCAACAGTGCGTCTATGACAGCAAGCAGAGGAAAACGAATAATCCTTCTTCAACGAGAACAACAGCAACAAACAGCAGTGCAAACAACTGGTGTATAAACACTCGAATTATCGAGTTTTTGTTGTTGTATATTTGTCGTATTATTGAAGCAATAAATATCTAATCAATCAATGTCATACAGATAGTGTAGCGTTAAAGAGATGATATTTCATTGAATTACTATCGCTCAATACGAATTAAATCCTCTATGATAGAGAAGTGATTAAACGAGAAGGTTATCAATCACTTCATCGTTTTAACAACGACAAAATTATGTGAATAGTAGCTGAATCTATACGTATAAAAAAATATTCGCATTTTTTTATAATATATAGATGGCTTTTATTCCCGTATCTGTCTTAAGATATATTTTTCACCTTCGACGTATAAATGAAGAGAATGTTTTTCTTTCTTTTTCATAGAACTTCCAGAGTTGTATACAATCGAAATAAATATAAGTATGCTTACTTATGGAATTAATCAAATGAAAGATTCAGGTAATCAAGAGGATTGGTGTTGTTATACAGAATTCTCATTTACAAAAAAATGTGACCACTATTTGTGTTTATTTTTATGTCTTAGCACGCGTTTTTGACAACTCTTGTCTTCTGGGGTTGCTTGAAGTGAAATAAATTTACCAAAAGGAAAAGAAATTTGAGAAGAGGAACGTCAAGCATATGAAAAAAGTTTTTCAAATTGTTCTTGTGTCCAATATTTCATTTCTATTCCCTCGACTGAAAGGAAAGTTATATAAAAAAAATTGTTTGTTTGTTTGTTTGTGTCACGGTTAAAGTTCAAATTTTTGAAAACGCTCAAAACTTCATAGAAAACGGTTTGGGAAGGGTGTTGAGGTGGAAGGTCGAGATTAAAACAAGATTCAGCTGTTGATGACCAAAAATGAGAAAGATTTTATCCTGACTGACAGGAGGCTCATACGAAAAGGATAGTTTTAGGCAGGTGTTATAAGTGACGCTAACCGTGAGTGGCCGACGAACGATTAGCCGTTAGTTTCGAAAACAATTTACAAGTGTAACTGATAAGATTATTGAATCAAGACTCTTGATGTTTCCAAGATTTTGGTATAATCACAGCCATACGCGAGAAGGATCTCGGTCGTGTGAAGTGAACCTAAGTTGAGTCCAAATCCATGTTTTACCAACTTTTTTTCTATATAGTGCAAAACATCACTTGTGAAAAGCTACTTTTAGAGGCGCCCTAAACCGACTTTTTACCAGCTATTCAACGGCGCCCATAGTAATTTTTCACCAGCTATTCAATGGTACATATGGTATCTTTTTGGAAAATAATTGTAGTTACCCTCGTCAATGATTAAAAATCGTGGGAAGTATCTGTGTTTTGTAAATCACCTTGTTACACTAGTCGAACTGTTTTTGCAATCGACATATGTTTCAGTGATGAAAGTCTTGAAGAAAATGTCATCGATTGTGGAAGACGGGATTGCATTTAGTAAGGTCCAAACTATCATTAGTCCATGCAATCATGAGTTTAGTAGTATTATTATTGTTTTAAAAGACAACTTAGCTATTGACTATCTATAACCATCTTGAGGGTGTGTGAGGGTGTAAACCAGCTGAGAACAGATCAAACCTATCTCTTAACGAAAAGACAAGTATAATCTGCTTATGTCCAACTCTTGCTTTTCAGCAATCGATGTTGTTTTTTTGTCTGAATGAATGAATGAAGATCTTGAAGTAATGTGCTTTGTAAATATATGGAAAAATGCAGAATTTGTTCACCGACGCGTTTCGTATTATTTATTGAAAAATAAAAATACTCATCAGGGCTCTGCATTAGAAAAAACAACAAGTTAAAGGTAAAAAGAATATTGTTCATGTATATGGGATATTCCTAATAATTGGTAGATGAATTGGAGACGATTNTATCGATGATGTTCTTCTGTCTGAATGAATGAATGAAGATCTTGAAGTAATGTGCTTTGTAAATATATGGGAAAATGCAGAATTTGTTCACCGACGCGTTTCGTATTATTTATTGAAATAAGAAAATACTCATCAGGGCTCTGCATTACAAAAAACAAAAATGTAAAAAGTGGAAGCACATGTTAGAAAAAAACAACAAGTCAGAGGTAAAAAGAATATTGTTCATGTATATGGGATATTCCTAATAATTGGTAGACGATTTTCTTGTTTCAACCGTATTTCGAATTAAAGCCAAATGTGAATCAGTGGAGGTAGTTAGTTTTGGGTAATTGGCAGGAAGCCAAATGACCATATTTTTTGTATAAAGATATTCTGCTATTGTTAAGGTCATTTTTTGGCACCAATCCAAAGTTTTGTTGATAATTCGATTCATCAATAAATTATTTTGGCATGGATCCAATAATGTCGTCAGGGTTTATCCTTTATATGTTTAAATCTTTTGATAATTTGAATAAAGTGACTCATGTCACTATGTCTGATTCTGGGATCTAATATCCGAATTGGTCCAGTAGTACAACTAGCTTCCTTGAGCATTAAATTGTAGTTGGTGACATTAACTATCTCGTGGACATCGAACTTTTAAGGGACACTATTGAGTCGTTCACTAATAAGGTCATCAAGATATTTATTTGATAATAAGGCCGTACATGATGATTTTATTTAAATTTTTAACTTGGTTCGATTCGGATAAATTGTTGTTTAAATTTGAATGGTTGGCAATTTGCCAAATGATCAGATAGATTGGTTTTCATAATCGGGAAAATATGTATTAAAGCAGTGAGTGGACACAATTGAAGAATAAGAGGACAGCCGAATCATTCGATGTAGTTATTCAATTTTTATCACAAGATTTCTTTTCTTATATGAATAAAATTGAATAGTTGGCAGATTGCCAAATAACCAGAGAAATTGATCTGATAATGTATATAATCCAGTTTTGGCATTGATCCAACTACGTAAGTGATTTTGCAGAGAGCTGTTATTTGAAAGGTAAATCGATCTGCTTCTGTTTCAATTGTTTGCGATTATGAACGAGTATGCACTAAACGTTTATGTAAGTTGTCGGCATTTTTGGTTCCTAATATTGGAGTAATTTCATTAATTGGGGAATCGCCAAAATATTTGTGCCATAAGTTGTGGAATTTCATGGGAAATGACTTCATATTTGTACAATAAGTAAAATGAATGAACATCATCTTTTCATGGTCAAATGGTGTTCTATCTCTTGAGGGGTGAGATGATTGAATTAATTGATCTCTTAATCTTTCGTAATTTCTAATACTAAGTTGATCATTAATTTCAAATTTTGATAGAACACGATTGAATTGACTAGTAATTAGATCACCCGGATATTTGTTTAATAGAAGAGCCATTCTTAAGGATTCTCTTTCTTGTAAATATGCATTGAATGTTGAGCAATATCGAATGGCTCTTAAGAACATAGCAAATGGTATGTTCTTTTTCATGTGTAACGGGGGGATACTATTAAATGGCAAATAATATGGTTCATAAGATGGTTTGTGGTAAACATTTGTAAATAATTGTCCATTTTGATTCTCTATATGTAGATCGAGGAAATTGGCATGTAAACTAATATTGGCAGATAATCTTATATTTGAATCAAATTGATTCCATCGATCGACTTGTTTGATGAGATGTCGAATAGGCCAATTGACTGCTAAAAATATATCATCAATATATCTGAAATAGAGTCCACCACTATTGCTAATTTGTTTCACTATATCTTGTTGATAAAAGTACATATAACAATTCGAAATAGTAAGAGTAAGTGGAGAACCCATAGCACCACCACGTATTTGATGATAAAATTGACCATTCAAAGAAAAGTAATTATTTTGCATAACGAATCGGCTTAAACGAACAATTGTTTCTACTTTTAGTCCACCAATTTGTTTAAGTTTGAAATGGTCTAACATTTTCTTGAGAGCTAGTACTCCTTCGACTTGTGGTATCATTGTATAAAGATCTGCAACATCAATAGTACATAATAGAGTCTCTTGTTTCAAATTTTGTATTGACCATTCTTTCAACTTTTTAAGTAATTCAAATCCAGATGTAACAGTAGTATCTAGTGCCATCTTATCGAATAACGGTCGAAGTAGATCATCGAGAAATTTAGAGATCTTGATTGTTGGATGTTTAAGACCAGATATAATTGGACGAAGAGGAGTACCAGTCTTGTGTGCTTTGGGTAAATAATATAGATGAGCTAACTCGACCTCTTGTTGGTTTACACATAGCTGTTCATATTGTTTTTGAGTGATCCATTTGGCTAATCGAAGATCTAGTAAATATTTATTTGTTCGTTGAATTAAATCAGGTAATGGATCTTGTGTACCAAGACATTGATATGCTTGTGTTTTATCCATATAATCGTTAGATTTTTTGTTATAATCATCGACCTTTCCTAAATGGAATACTTTGGATTTATCTGTTTTACGTAATACTATGTCGGTGAGTCGAAATTTATGTTTTAATCGTTTGACTAATCGATCATAATTTCGCTTCGTTTTAGAAGATCGGATCAGCTGGGGTTGACTTGAAATAATCATATAATTTGGAATATCGAGAACGTGTTGTCGTTGTTGTAGTGATTGATTTAACCGAGGATTTGACTTGACAGGAATATCATGTAAATTTTGAAGCAGAATATCTAATTCAGCAATGAATTGATGGACTGGACGACCGGGGCTTACTTTCTTTTCATGAAATCGAGCTTCAATTTTTCTTTGGACTGTAGCCAACTCGATGAGACGTCGTCGAGATGCTGTTTTTGGATCATTATAGATAAATCGAGGGCCTAATTTCAGTAGTTGATATTCATCCTCGGTTAATTTCACTTGTGCTTCATTGATTATTGTTGGAGCAAGAAATCCTCGCCCAACGATCGAGTTAGAGTCGGGGCGATCATTTCTTCTTCTTCTTGTTGATTGTTGTTGCCCTCGACTCGCTGCTCGTCTAAAAAATAGATCGATTGTTCGGCTTCTATTTTAAATCTTTTTTCACGTAATCCATTATAATGTATAAATGCAGCATAACCAGCTTCATCGTCGTTTTCTTGTGGAATACCTTCAACAATTTGTTTTATTTCGTTTGTTAACAATTCATATTCTCGAGTACATGTTTGAACATATAAAGTCATTGCACATAGACGATAATCTTTTGTCACTTGTCTCATTTGGTCATATAAATTTTGTGCTTCTTCTTGACTTATAATTGATTCATCGATTTTAAAAGCTAATTGAGTATTGCCAATAAATTTCGGTGGTAAATCATATTCAACACGTTTTGTTGCTATTTGTAAATTTTTACTTTTGGTTAACCAAAGTTTCATTTTGGGTTTTAACATTGAAAGAATATTCCATTGTAAAGGACTAGCTATTTGTTGAAAGTCTTCTAAAGCTTTGAATTCTTCCATTTGAGCTTTAGCTAATTGAATACGATTTTCAGCTATTCGTTTCACATATTGTGTACAATGTTGAATATATCTTAAAATAGATTTTTCTAGTCGATCACGATTAGTCGCCGTTGTTAAATTGGGGTTTTGAACGGTTTGGTCAGTAGTTTGTGCCGTTGTTTGACCCATACGGTCGAGCATTAATTGTGTAGTTAATTCGGCAGTGGCTTGCGCATTCGTTTGAGCAGCTGATTGAGCTACAGTTAGTGTCCAATAGGTGCCTAGTTGAATTTGTAAATCTGTAACAGTGGCATTGGCTTGAGCAATTACGGTCGTTAGATAGTTAATCTTCTTCTGAACAAATCGACTATTGATTAGGTCATCACGTCGTTTTGTACGTTGAACAACTTCTTTTGCCCAATGTCTGTTTTCATTGCCCATTTTCAAATATGCTTGCCAAACTTGTAATTCATAATTGTTTCGAACCCATTCATCATAAATTGGAGTTGTTGCTAATACATATGCTTGATTACCGCGACCACTAATTGAACTTTTCGAATTGTCTTCGAACCATTTCAGTATTCGATTTGTTTGAAGGTATAGTCGAATGTTCTTTTTCTTGCCAATTCTTTTATTTGTATCCATAATATTAGTTGCAGGTCTATCGTTTATAGTCGTTTCAGTATCTATTTGATTACTGGTATCGTCTTCAGCAAGTGCAACAAATCGATTTGGATTATCATCTGCTTGATTTTGTTGCTGATATTGCTGTTGATTATTACGACGTTGACGACGTCTGTGTGCTGCTGTAGTAGTTCTTTGACGTTGACCATTATTTGTTCGTTGTTGTTGTTGTTGTTGTTGTGTGAGGGTGTGACTATTATACAATAGAATCCTACGATCTAGATTTCGACCTTTTTTAAGGGTCTTTCATCAGGTAGGAAAATATTCTGCATAGAATTGATAAACAAATTTGGAAAGGGTGTGGGTGAGGGTGTGAGTAGAGCTGCCATGACCGGTTTCGTCTTTTGCTCAAGAAGACTCATCAGATGGCTAATGATTTTGTATAATTTAACTCAAAATAAACATTTTCAAAGCTGAAAAGTCCATTTCAAGTAAAATCACAACAAAATCAAATCATTCTGTTAAAATTCAAAAACAAAAAGCTTAATTAGCAATTTGCA